TCATGAGGTCAGGAGATGGAGACCATCCTGGCTAACACGGTGAAACCCTGTCTCTACTAAAAATACAAAAAATTAGCCATGTGTGGTGGCGGGCGCTACTCAGGAGGCTGAGGCATGAATGGTGTGAACCGGGGAGGCAGAGCTTGCAGGGAGCCGAGATCACACCACTGCACTCCATCCAGCCTGGGACACAGAGCAAGACTCCATCTCAAAAAAAATACAAAAACAGAAACAAACAAACAAACAAAAACCACATAGACTAAAAGGAATTGACAAGGATATTCCATGCAAACAACCCAAAAAGCAGGAGTAGCAAAACTTAGAGAAAATTAATCAATTTCAAGACAAAAAGTATAAAAAGAGACAAAGCAGGTTATTATATAATGATAAAGGGGTCAACTCAGCAAGGGAATATAACAATTGTAAATACATATGCACCCAATGCTGGAGCTTCCTGATATAGGAAGCAAATATTACTAGAGCTAAAGAGAGAGATCCCAACACAATAATAGCCGGAGATTTCAACACCCCATTTTCAGCACTGGACAGATCAATCATCCAGACAGAGAATCAAAGAAACAGGACTTAATGTACACTACAGACCCAACGGACATTGACAGAACACTTCACGCAGCAGCTGCAGATCACACATTCTTACCTCAGCACACGAACCGACCTCAAACATAGACCGCATGTTGGGCCACAAAACAAGTCAATGAAACAGGAAGGCAATTTTAAAATCTTTTGAGACATGAGAATGGAAACAACATGTCAAAACCTGTGGGATACGGTGAAAGCAGTACTAAGAGGAAAGTGTATAGCTATAAGCGCCTACATCAAAAAAGTAGAAAAACTTCAAATAAACCACCTGACACTTTTTTTTTTTTTTTGGAGACAAGGTCTTGCTCTGTTGCCCAGGCTGGAGTGCAGTGGCACGATCATAGTTCTTTGCAGCCTTGACCTCCCAGGCTCCAGTGATCCTCCTACCTCAGCCACCCAAGTAAATGGGACTATAGGTACACAATCACCACATCCAGCTAATTCTGGTACTTTTTGTAGAGACAGGGTCCCACCATGTTGTTCACGCTGGTCCCACACTCTTCGGCTCGAGCAATCCCACCTTGGCCTCCCAAAGGGCTGGGATTACAGGCGTGAGCCACCATTCCTGGCTGTGACGCATGTTAAAGAACTAGAAAATCAAGAGCAGGCCGGGCACGGTGGCTCACGCCTGTAATCCCAGCCCTTTGTGAGGCCTGACTGGCAGATCACTTGAGTCCAGGAGTTTCAGACCAGCTTGACCAACACGACGAAAACCCATCTCTACTAAAAATAAATACAAACTTAGCTGGGCGTGGTGGCTCACACCTGTCGTCCCAACTACTCAGGAGGCTGAGGCAGGAGAACTGCTTGAATCCTGGAAGCGGAGGTTGCAGCGAGCCAAGATGGTGCCACTGTACTCCAACCTGGGCGACAGAGCGAGACCCTGTCACAAAAAAAAAAAAAAAAAGAAAAGAAAAGAAAAACAAACACAAAATTAGTAGGAGAAAACAAATAATAAAGATCAGAGCAGGCCAGGTTCATGGGTATGGTGGCTCAACTCCTAGGTGCTCAGGAGTTTGAGATCAGTCTGGCCAACAGGGCAAAACCCCATCTCTCCTAAAAACATGGAAAAAACAATGGCTGGATGTGGTGATGTGTGCCTGTACCCCAGCTACTTGGGAGGCTGAGGTGGGAGAATCACCTGAGCTCAGGAAGTGGAGGCTGCAGTGACTCGTGATTGCACCCTGCACTCTAGCTGGGTAACTGGACTGAGATTCGTCTCAAAAAAACAAAGACCAGAGCAGAAATAAACGAAATGGAAATGAAGGGAACAATACAAAAATCAATGACACAAAAAGTTGTTTTTTCGAAAAGATAAACAAAATCAACAAACCTTTAGCCAGACTAAGAAAAAAAGAGAGAAGACCCAAATCAATAAAATCGGAGATTAAAAAGGAGACATTACCACTGATCCCACAGAAACTCAAAGGATCATTAGAGGCAACTATGTGCAACTATATGCTAATAAACTGGAAAGCCTAGAACTGCGTCAATTTCTACACACATAAAACCTATCAAGACTGAACCATGAAGAAATCCAAAAACCTGAACAGGCCGTGTG